GAAAAAAATAGAGATCTCTGGATAAAGTACACATGTTGGTAAATAGGAAGGAAATGTTCCGAACAACAAAATTATACGGAATGAGTTTTAAAATTCTGTAGATTGAAAATGTATAACAACAATAACACAGAAAGTATGAAGGATGGATAAAATGAAAATACCCCAAAGGGTCTCCTTACCCAGTTTTGTATTTACTGAAGCAAAATTAAAATGAGTCCACAAAATGACTTGTAGAGAAATAAATGTACCAGAAATGTTATAATAGTAAAAACTATTGGCAAACTGATAACAGACTATAGTATATTTATACCATGAGATACAACTCAGAAATAAAAATAAATGAATCACCAGTAAACTAAAAACCACAGATGATTCTCACAGACACAATGTGAGTAGAAGAAGGGGGATTCAAAAGAACACACAATAGAGTGGGGTTCAGTAGTACCTGCCTCTAATTTCAGCACTAGGGGAGCTGAGGCAGAAGGATTATGAGTCTGAGGCCAACTAGAGCTACATAGTGACACCTTGTCACAAAAGACAACAACAAAAACAAGAAAGAATACATACTGTACAATTCCAACTCTACCTTTGCAAAGCTGTAATCAAGCAAAACTACATAATGATGCTAAAAGTCAGGACAGTGGCTATCTTAAGAAAATAACAAAACATTTTCATCTTCATTCTCTCTTAATATAGGTTACATTGTTCTTTGTGAAGAAAACAGGGGAGCAGACCTCTGTGAGGTTGGCAATGTTCTATTTTCTGCTATTGTTGATTACAAAGATGTGCTTACTTTGTGGAAATTTATCAAGCTCTGCATTTAGGATGGGCACTGTTTTATATCTATTTCAAAAATCAGCTTTAAAATATATTTTAGACATATGAAAAGCTATGCAAAGAATAATGAGATTGTATCCTCCAAGATTTAGAAAAAAAACATTCAGGACTGGAGAGATGGCTTAGCATTTAAGAGCACTTGCTGCTCTTGTAGAAGATGGGGTTCAGTTCACAGCACCCACATGGTAGCTCACACTGTCAGTAACTCCAGCTCCATGGGATCCAACGACTTCTTCTGTCCTCTTGATGTGCTGCACTTACATACATAAAGGCAAAATACTTATGTGCATTTTTAAAAAAAACTTTAATTAAAATTAAAAACAAAACATTCACAATATAGTTGGTGTGTGTGGATCCCTGATAGCATCCCTACCAGAGCTAACTTCTCTCCTGAGTTGGATGTCCACCATTGTTAAGTACCATTTATACTTTTACTCTTTACATATGCCCCCCAAAACAGTGTATTGAAGCTTATTTTGTGTATTTTTAAGCTATATATGGAAGGAAATTTGAAGCTGTGTGTGGTGATACACGTATGTAATCCAAGCTCTTGGGAGGCAGAGACAGGAGGATCCAGAGTTCAAGACCAGCCTGGAGCTACATAGAAAATTTAAGGCTCCCCTGAGCTACGTGACTCTATCTCAAAAAAAAAAAATTGTTTTAAGGAATCTTTATAAGAAAAGCCAAGGGAACCGTCTAGGATGACAAAACTGTATCTTGCCTGTGGTACTGATCATACGAGTTGAATTGGAGTTGAGGCAGGAGGATTGTGAGATCAAGTCCATCCTGAGATATACAGTGAGCCTCTGTTTCAAACAGAAAAGAAAATATTTGCGCATTTTATTATATCTTACTATCTTAAGCTTTTAAAAAACAAATCAGGGTATTCCTCCCTTGAAGCACTTCCAAATTTTAGGAGTTCTTTCTCACTTTTCCTTAATAAATCTATGTTCACACTGCTCAAAAAAAAAAATCATCCTAGTTTCTTCATGAGAAATGGATGGGCATGGACAGAATGGAACTGGGAAAAACACTTCAAATACTGCCGTAGACCTGGCAATGCCAAACTCAGCTACTAAATAGTAAGGACAGAAAGACAAGTTGTGGACACAGTTCTTTAATAAGCTTGATTGTGAAATGATATGAAAACTAGAGGAAGTGAGGCTGGAGAGATGGCTCAGCAGTTAAGAACATTTGCTGTTCTTCCAGAGGACCCAGATTCAATTCCCAGCACCCACAGAGCAGCTAACAACCACCTGTAACTTCAGCCCTAGGGGGATCTAACGCCCTCTTCTGGACTCCGTGGGCATTGCACACCAGTGCACTTACATCGGTGCAAAACACTCATAAACATAAAATAAAAATAATCAAATATTTTTAAAAACTAGAGGAAGAAGTAAGACCAAACAGGGAGATTCTTAAAGACTGAAGATAGACCCTAACCTAGTAGAGAAGAAGAGCTGCAGACAGACCAAAGAAGTAGGATTAACAAAAACCCATGGCCTTTGGAAGGTAGAGGGACAGGCTGTGGTAGCCTTTGCTAGGACATATCTTCTTGTTTTCTAATTGCAAGACAAACTTTAAGGGGTACAAATGCAAGGAAGATTGTTTTTGTAACGATAGAAAAAAAGGGAGTTCCTATCTAATGGTTGCTGTTTTGGGGTGAACTTGACTCATTCTCTGAATGGTAAGTGATGGGAATTTTGAGGCTTGCTAAGAACAATATGACTTTGTACTGGAAGCAGCTGGGAATATATCCCAACAGGGGTGGACATATCTTAAAAAAATATGTTTCACTTTGGCCAGGTTAAATGTCCAACAGATGTCCAAATTTATGCAATATAGCAGCATGAGCTAAAAAGTAAGAATAATGTAATTTATCTTTGATCATCCAACACAAAGTATAGTGTAAGCTATTTTAGTTACTCGAGAGGAAATGAATAAGGGAATGAATGAAGCACAAACTGTTCCATATTTTCATTGCACATTTTGTGTCATCTGTCATGTTCTCCACTAGAGCTGAAGAAAATACACTTTTCTGAAATAATTCACCTTAGATATCAAATGCATTTTTCTTTTTCTCATTTCTAGTTGTACATGTTCTTAGATGAAAACTCAGTGTTTCTGCTAATTTTATCAATTCTTCATTTTACCTAAAGAAATAATATGCTGATCCAAAATTACATTTAAGCAGAATTCAACACTAGGTCAATTCCTGGAGGGAAAAAAAAAAGACAAAATATATGCCTATGTGACCATAATTTGTGACAATCATAGGATCTAGTTATCGAAGAAATGAGAAGCCCTTACACCAAGAAGAATTAACCTCTGCTCCGGATTCAGGACATTCCTGCTGGTGCTAAACCACATGTGCCCCTTCAGTGAAGAATGCCTTTAACTCAAGTATAGAAGTAAAGGGTGATCTCAGATAAATCTGAATGTGCCCAAGGAACAGTTGACACTGGCTGTCTTAAGAGACCAGTTCACACCATGTGCTATTTATTTATCATTTTCCAATTCTGAAATGAAGAACCAGTTATAAATGCATTACTTGCAGCATAAGCTGATACTTGTTTTGTTACACTAAGTTCCAGTTACAAGGACTCCATTCACAGAGGAACTGTTTTGGTTGGCTGAGCAGCCTGTCTCTGTACTTGTAACTCACGGACAGAATCATTATGTATATTGAGTGCACGCTCCTAATTCCTGTTGCCACAGCCAGATTGTAAATGCATATGTTTTTGTCATTTTTAACTACAGTAATTCAGAACCTCAGCTGCCAAGTTTGGTGCCAATATCCTCGCATATGCAGTTCATGCTCCACTCTTAAAATAATGCCTTGTTTGCTGTCAGAAGCTCCCATCGTGACATGTAAAATGGCTGGATCTTTAAAAAAAAAAAAAACATCGAAATCACCTATTAAATGCAACTATAATGTGTTTCTTTTTCTTGAAAATGCTCCCTTTCCTATCATTCCCTTTATTTAGTAATTATAGACTCAGATCAAGCAATGAAATAGGAGAACATTGCAATAATCAACAACCCACAAACAACAGTGTTTGCAAGGAGGAAAGAAAGGGAAAAGCTCAGTTACATGGCAGTCCATCCTGAGGCACTGTCATGTTAAGTGTGGAGGCATCAATTATTTGAATTTCCATGTGGAAAGGTCTACTATACATTCAAAGCAACTATGTTTCTCTTTCATTAAACAACAGGATACTAGTCCTGTGCTGGTTTGAAAAAGCCAGCAGAATTCCAAGTGGGGATATTAGGTTTGATATTTCATTTTCAAATGAAACAATTGCTCTGTCGTCAGAGTACTGAGACCATGCTTCAGTTGTCAATGGCCTATTTCTAAGGCCAAAGACTAGCTCCTTCTCAAAATCTCAAAATTTTGAGTCTGAAAGAAATCGGGGGAGGGGGGAGGGTCTCCTGTTCTAAGGTGACACCCAAAGCAGCATCCCCCCCCCCCAACACCCCTGACCGATGGTCAGCCTCTGCTTCAATTACTCCATTGGAGGAGTTCTCAAGATTAGGTTCCCAAGGAATACGATGAAAGACTAGAACCAACCTTCAAGACAGAAGTAAAGCTCCAGTCGGTAAGCTTGCAGGAAACCGACAGCGCTGCCGAGCACTAAAACCAGACTTCCACAATGTGAACAAGATTCAGAATCAGCATCCGGAAGAGTGCAGCATTTGAGACCCTCAATTCTGCAACCATTCAAGGGCCTTTCTTCGGCCTATAGAATAGCTCCTAAAATCTCCGAAGCAAAGAGTCTTTTCTCCCTGATTTCGAGAAGAAAGGACTTTATAGGCTACAGCAATGGCTCAGTCAAGCTAGAGCTCATCAAATCCACTCCTTCCCCAAAACCAAGTAAAGAGACCCCCTGGTGGAATTGCTAGTGCTTAAAATACTGTAACTCTGGTTTTTAAATTGTCACCACACTGAACCAGAAACATTTCAAGGTTTCTTTTAAAGATGTGTTTAGCCTGTGCTGTTGCTTAAGTTTGCTTGGCTAGTGTAGAGGTGGATGCATGTGGGGTTGTATTTTAAGCTCAGCCCTTTATCCCGCGGGGAAATCTGGTTTGATCCTCCCAGGAGAGGCTAGCAGGCTGAGCGGTCGGCCCCAGTTCAGCCTGGGACGGGGCGGCCCGGCCCTTACCTGTCGATGCTGATCACGCACAGGGTCATGATCGAGGCCGTGCAGCACATGACGTCCATGGCGATGAAGACGTTGCAGAAGAAGTGACCAAAGATCCACTTGCCCCCGATGAGGTCTGTGACGCTGACGAACGGCATGACCGCCACGGCCACCGAGAGGTCAGCCAGCGCCAGGGACACGATCAGGTAGTTGGAGGGCTGGCGGAGCTTCTTGACGAAGCACACGGAGATCACCACCAGGCAGTTGCCCGCGATCGTCAGCAGCGTGATGAGTGTCAGGATGGAGCCGATCACAACTTTCTCCGCTCTGCCGTAGTTGATCTGCTCCCCGCAGCCGGAGACGTTGTCCGGGGGCGCGTCCCAGGTGGGCGCGGGGCTGGCCGTCACCTCTGGGACGCCGCTCAGCAGGTGCGGCGTCCAGGAGCTCGCCACCGCGTCGGCGCCTCCGTCGGGGCTCAGGTCCTGCAGCCCGCGCGCCACCTCCGGCAGGATGAGCGAGCGGAGGTGGCCGTAGAGGTCGGGGCGGCCGCTGCTGTTAACGTCCATCATCCTGCCGCCCAGCACCGCTGCCCATGGAGCCGGCGCCCCGGCCACGCGCTCCGGCTGCCGGCCCGGGGGCTGGAATTCACCTAGCCGGCTACGCGCCGCCCGGCCCAGCCATGGGGCCCGCGCTGGCCGCTGGGGGGCGCCCGGCTCGGCCTGGC